ATGACATCCAGGAAGCTGTATTATTTGCACCATGTTTGCGGAAGAGTGACATGTTTGGTCTCAATATTTGCTTAGGAATGTGAAGCTGGGAGACCTAGCTAAAGCAAGGTGATCAGATTTTATGTTCTTTAAGTCTCCAGATTGATAGGAAGTAGATCTAAATTATTGGAAGAAGAACTTAAAATGTATCAAGTTTTCATTGAGTTATTCATGCTTAGCTGGTGGCCAAGTTGCAACTCAAATGAACTGACTTTTTTCATAACCAGTCTAATATACCAATCAAATCTCAGTGTTTTGTTGGGGATCTTTTTCTTAAACTTTAGATCAGCTTCTCATATACCTGTCAATTCCAAGAAGATAAAATTTGAGCAAAAATACCACTCTGTATGAACATCATTCAGAAACAACATTGCACTTTTTGCACACCAAATTGCATGCTTTTAAAATTAATTGTATGTGGAGTGGTACTTAATGTAGTTGATTATTGAAGTGCATATTCTAGTCCAACCTGTTGGATATTAATCTAGCTCAAGTCCAAGCTTTTGAAATGGATGGTATTATGTAGTGTTTAGGACTGATAGATAATACACACAATTTCTTGTTGTCTTGCTTCTCAAATACCACATCACCACAATGGATGCAGTATTATGCATGCCAAAATGTGGGATCAAGCTCAATTGAACTAATTTTCAAAGGATTAAGTTTACTGTATTGCCTCCTTTTGTAGCCTAATACCTCAGCAAAAACCTGAAGAACCCTTCCACAAAAAATGGCACCCAATGGACCAGTATTGCAGCCTGCAGAAATAATTTATATATTTTGAAAAAGGACCCCAGACACCCTTTGTCAGCTTTGATATGATGGTATGGTATGGTATGAGATCATTTGGTATGGTATGAGATGACATGGTATGGTATGGTAACATGGTATTGGTATGAGTGGGATATGGTATGGGTTTTCCATTCCATGGTACCATGGTATTGGTATTGAGCTCATATACCACCCCGGAATGGGTACCCTCAAGGTACCCTAAATCAAGGAATTGATGTACCTCATAGGTACCCTAAAATGGGTGACTGAAGTGTTTTGATTTTGTTGAATTGAAGTTTTGATAAGATGGCCTGACACCTAAACGCCTCTTGCGCTCTGTGGGCTTTCTGATTCGCTAGGTATTACAAGTTAGCGTAGACAATTGGAAATTGACCTTGAAATATGTACCGGGATTTGTTGACGACCCAGATGGCTGAGAACTACCACCACATGGCTTTGCCCCATCCCCATTCTTCACCTTCTCCGTCCAGGCCATCCCAAGGGCCCTGAGAGTTACTTGGGTCTAGTCAGGGTAGGCATGGCTTGAACATTGAATACCACGAGAAGAGGCCAAATCAACATGAGAAGATGTCCCAGACTGGTGCCAGAAGACGGTTCGGTGAAAGCAGAACACAGCAGGAAAGACAGTTGCGGGAGAATTATGGGTTAATTTTGATGGTTTACATAGTCAAATCAATCTCACATAGCTTTTGCTAACAGGGCAAGGACTTGAGCAATGCTTCTAGCCAGCCAGTGGGGACACTGGACTCCCATATTTTATTGAATGGTATGATTATGATGGGTAGGTATGATGGGTTCTGACATGAACATTCGGAACAGAAAAATGGACAAGCTGTGACCAGCACCAGACACATGTCCAAGCGCCAGTGAGCACTTGAGCACCATGCCTTTTGAATTCCACAAGTATACATAGATGTCGCTATAGTACCATAACAATAGAAATTGACAATTGTGCCAATAAGTCATAGGGCTACCCCAATGGGCCCAATACACATGGACACTATGGATCCATACCTGGGACCAATGGATGTTTACAGCATATGGTATTAATGTGTGGCCCAATGCATATTCTGCAGATGTGGTTATTGCCATAATCAATGGTACCATAGGTACCCAA